TCGCCTAAGCGGGTATACGCTTTTATTAAAATCCGCAAAAACTTCCCTCGCCGCGGTCCGTCGCCCCGAAGGGATTATGGAAGCTTGGGACCCCACCAAGGCCACCCTCGGTATCACAGAGAAATTTAATCACTTGAGACCAAGCTAATTCAGCGAGAGTTAAATAAATGAAAATAAAAACTGTAGCGCCATCTGTGGACCAAAACCTCATGGAAAATCACGAAGTGTAGAAAAAATGTAGCATCTTAGTTTCTTATTATCTCCCTTATTGGGTTTTGCAAACCGCTCCCATGAAGAATTCATTTTATAGGGTAGGGCAGGAGGAACTGAGGATGAGATTATGGAAGCTTGGGAATCGTCCCATCCCACCCTTAACATCACGCAGCTATTTAACCAATTGAGACCAAGCTAATTCAGCGCGAGTTAACTAGAACATATGAAATAAAAACTGTAGCGCCATCTGTCGAGTAAAACCTGAACACTCGAGACTAAAACCTCATGGAAAGCCATGAAATGTAGTTAAAAATGTAGCATCTTAGTTTCTTCCTTATTGGGCTGCGCAAGCCGCTCCTCTGAAGAATTAATTTTATAATGTAGAGCAGAAGGTACTGGGGATGAGATTATGGAAGCGTGGTAACAATCCCTTCCCACCCTTAATATCACGCAGCTATTTAATCACTTGAGACCAAGCTAATTCAGCGCGAGTTAACAAGAAAACATGAAATAAACACTGTAGCGCTATCTGTGGAGTAAAACCTGAACACTCGAGACTAAAACCTCATGAAAAGCCATGAAGTGTAGCCAAAAATGTAGCATCTTAGTTTCATATTATCACCCTTATTTGGCTGTGCAAGCCGCTCCTCTGAAGAATTCATTTTATAGGGTACGGCAGGCGCGATCCCGAGGCCCAGTAAAATTGNACACGGTGCCAAATCCCAGAAGACTGCTTTCTTCATAGTCACCGCCGTGAAAGCCTCAAATCTTACAACTGCCAAAACGTTCACCATCTCACTCTGCGTCGGAGGTTTGCTAACGCTTTTCAAAAGCCACCTTCCACCACTGGACTGTTGTATTTATCTGTCTTTACCAGCAACAGCTGGATCACTTCCACGAATAAGAGAAAGTATATAAGAGGCTTATTTATTGTTTGTATAATAACAGTCAGCAGCTGACTATATAGCATTCAATGGTAGGATGACTAGTGAATGATGAATTGGAAATAGATGCGGAAGGAAGCAGTCATACCATATTTATCCTGATATTTGCCTATGACTGAGAAAACTCATGAAAAACCTCAGGATAATCTGTGTGCCCTCCAAGATCTGAAGCTGGCATTACTGCCTACGTGAACTTGCTCAGTTGCTGAATATTTCTTAAAATAGGTTCTCATGTATCCTCAATCCACTAAAACCTCAAAGAAAGGACGGATACCAATAATTTCCAAGGGTGCTCGTGTCTTGACCCTTTTTCTTTTTTTTATTGGCTTTCACTCACAGTCCTCTGTCACCTCTGTTTCAATGCATTCATCAAGCTCACTTCCAGTATCAGAGAAGACTCCATCAGAAGCAGTTCTCACTTAGTACCTATTTTATTCAGAATTACTGGGGGTTTGGACTTTTATTCCTCAAAATTTACACCATTCTGACATGAGGAAAGTTTTCTTTATTTACTACAGTATTTCTTCAGACTTTCTTCCAACTCGTACAGATGGTGCTATCTTAGAGTTAACAAAACCTTGAATAAATGTGAATGGCATGATGTGACTGGAACATGTCCTCTTGAGACTAGCTATGGTTGATATTTATGAACATAAGTAACTACCAGAAGTCCGAATAGAGCACTGGACAAGTCCAGTTACACAGCTACCACAAGATAACATGTCATTGATACATTTAAGACCAATGCATACACTGTTCAAAAATGTAACTCATAGCTGATAATGGTTAAACTATTTTACATTAAAAAAGGACTTCTGAAGAACAGAATTACTCATGTCTTTTTTTTTTTTTTGGTGCTCTATAGCCTATACAGTTGAAAAAGCATAATCATCCAAGAATCAATTAGTCTCACCACATAATAGGTATTTTACAGGATATTCCACATAACAAGAAAGTTCAGTTCTGTAAGGAATATATTTCAACATAAATACGTTCCAAAAATGGCATTGTCAAAATCATAAAAAATATAAACAGTTTTACAGCATTTAAATTATTACTCGGGAAACATAATTATACTGGACATTTAAATCTGTTAAGATTCTTAATACTTTATCACAAGAAGTAGCTCATTCCTTCACCTGCGACCTTATTACTGCCTGTTTACAGAGTGAGACACAGTCCACTGAACATATTCTCACCCTCTGAAGGTAACATACCATCAGAGTCTAAATGGGGGTTCCATCCACACTTGAAAAATGTTTTCATAAAAACTTATATAACATTACAACTGCTGGAAATGGTGTCCTGCAACATCCAAGCACATTTCACACCATAAGCAATTCTAAGACACAAGTTAAAATTCATATTTGTGGATTTTAGTCTAATATTCAGAGTTTTATCTGTAAAGCCTTCAAATTGCGTGGATTTTATTCTGTACAGTTTTCAATTTCCCTGGTGATAATTTCACATATTCAGATCCAGAGAACATGACAGCATAAGGCATGCTTTAACACAAACAAACTGCCACAATGGTAAGAAGTGTGGAGTTCATTTCTGTAGTGAATGAAATTGGCATGAGCTCTGAAGCAATTCACACCTAATGGTGTGTTCAGGAGAAAATTGACAAGTGCCTCAAGCTGCTGAGCAACCTGCACCAAGCCTCAGTTAAGCACTGTTTGGTGTCATTCAAAAACAGAAAGTAACTGTGAGATACCAAAACTTGTCAGGCACGAAATTAACCATAGGCTTAAACTGAAAAATGAAATTAACTTAAACCATGAAGATCACGAGAAGAGTGATTGCTGGTATAGAATTGGATGGCAAACATGAATCTTATTGTGAAAAGATTTAGTTAGAATAAAGTTGTTACCTTAACTACGTCATTAAGTGATGTTCTTCATTCAGCACACCGGGGGAGGGGGGTTGGAGTGATCAACCCCTTTCGTGAGGCCTCTTTGTGTAAGCACAGAGAACACTACCAATATTAGAACCTTCCCCCTTGAACAACACATCAGTTCTATTTGTCATTGCATTCTTTGTGTATGTGTCAAACCACCGTGAGTGTCCTTACCGAACAGAATAAGAGTTACGATACTTCCAGCAGAATAATGCACCAGCACAAAGAAAACTCTCTGCGAGCTCTAGGGGTATAAATTGAAAGCACTAGATGACTATGACCATCTCATTCCCCACACTGAATGTGTGTGATTTATTTCTCTCGGTGAAAACTAAACAAGAAGTCTACACGTCAAAACCCATGCATTACTCTAGAAACCACAAAACCACATACTATCAATTTTAATATATCACAGAATGAACTATTATGTCAGTGTGAAATGACACCAGATTCGGTATCAAAATGTTTTTACTAAAAACATTTTCTGATCATGCAGTAGTGGTATGATGTTCTTACACATGAGAAACAGCTCCCAGACAGTATCTCACTCTATAAACAATATAATAACATCACAAATGAAGGAATTAACTGCTTCTGAATGTCACAAAAAATAACTGTTTACAAATTACACATATTAACCAATATCTCCTGGTCTTAACTGCCTTTCTCCTTCCAGAATGAAGATACACATTGCACGATACAATAAATATGTACCAAGCATTCTTTTGTGATGTGACGTCCATGTGGCAGCCACACCATAATAATCACCACGCCGCGCATTCTCCAAGTTCCGTATATCAATGGCATCAATCATTGATGCTTCACGTGTGTATGCCTCTGCTGGTATCACATTCTGAAACACATGGAGGCACACAACACCCATTCCCGCCTTCCAAATGTCCAGAATAAACTGCACTTTCTTGTCTGTTTTCACCACAGTCTTCTTCTTCCAGACAGCAAATGCTTGGTAAAGATGAGAATAAGGTCTGGAGCGCTTACCCTTTCCTATGTAGAAGATAGAAGATAGAAAGGTGGACCAGGTGTGGGGCTCACTAAGGGAACCCACACGACATGGAAGATTGTTAGTTACACGTGGATCCAGCAATAAGTATGTGAAAGATGATTTCAGAATGCCCCCTCGCCAGTGCCACAATGGTTCTGGTTGTAAAAATTGTTGCATTGCTTCATTTTCAAGTTTTTGGCAATCTAGAAACCATTTCTTCCAGTTAAAATGATGTATTGTACGTTGTAGTTCAGGGCTATAAACTGCAAGAGAAGGAATAACATAAATGTTTATTTAATATAAAAATTAATAATAATTGTCTAAATGATACTGCAAAATCATTACATCCATGTGGAGGTAAAGGTTGCAGTATTTGAGTTTCCTTTGTTTTAATTTTCAAGGCTTCAAAACTAGCCTTCTGAGAGTAGTAAATATTAAAAATGTTCGATTAAATATTTNTTTTTTTTTTGTTGGTGCTCTATAGCCTATACAGTTGAAAAAGCATAATCATCCAAGAATCAATTAGTCTCACCACATAATAGGTATTTTACAGGATATTCCACATAACAAGAAAGTTCAGTTCTGTAAGGAATATATTTCAACATAAATACGTCCAAAAATGGCATTGTCAAAATCATAAAAAATATAAACAGTTTTACAGCATTTAAATTATTACTCGGGAAACATAATTATACTGGACATTTAAATCTGTTAAGATTCTTAATACTTTATCACAAGAAGTAGCTCATTCCTTCACCTGCGACCTTATTACTGCCTGTTTACAGAGTGAGACACAGTCCACTGAACATATTCTCACCCTCTGAAGGTAACATACCATCAGAGTCTAAATGGGGGTTCCATCCACACTTGAAAAATGTTTTCATAAAAACTTATATAACATTACAACTGCTGGAAATGGTGTCCTGCAACATCCAAACACATTTCACACCATAAGCAATTCTAAGACACAAGTTAAAATTCATATTTGTGGATTTTAGTCTAATATTCAGAGTTTTATCTGTAAAGCCTTCAAATTGCGTGGATTTTATTCTGTACAGTTTTCAATTTCCCTGGTGATAATTTCACATATTCAGATCCAGAGAACATGACAGCATAAGGCATGCTTTAACACAAACAAACTGCCACAATGGTAAGAAGTGTGGAGTTCATTTCTGTAGTGAATGAAATTGGCATGAGCTCTGAAGCAATTCACACCTAATGGTGTGTTCAGGAGAAAACTGACAAGTGCCTCAAGCTGCTGAGCAACCTGCACCAAGCCTCAGTTAAGCACTGTTTGGTGTCATTCAAAAACAGAAAGTAACTGTGAGATACCAAAACTTGTCAGGCACGAATTTAACCATAGGCTTAAACTGAAAAATGAAATTACCTTAAACCATGAAGATCACGAGAAGAGTGATTGCTGGTATAGAATTGGATGGCAAACATGAATCTTACTGTGAAAAGATTTAGTTAGAATAAAGTTGTTACCTTAACTACATCATTAAGTGATGTTCTTCATTCAGCACACCGGGGGAGGGGGGTTGGAGTGATCAACCCCTTTCGTGAGGCCTCTTTGTGTAAGCACAGAGAACACTACCAATATTAGAACCTTCCCCCTTGAACAACACATCAGTTCTATTTGTCATTGCATTCTTTGTGTATGTGTCAAACCACCGTGAGTGTCCTTACCGAACAGAATAAGAGTTACGATACTTCCAGCAGAATAATGCAAGAGCACAAAGAAAACTCTCTGCGAGCTCTAGGGGTATAAATTGAAAGCACTAGATGACTATGACCATCTCATTCCCCACACTGAATGTGTGTGATTTATTTCTCTCGGTGAAAACTAAACAAGAAGTCTACACGTCAAAACCCATGCATTACTCTAGAAACCACAAAACCACATACTATCAATTTTAATATATCACAGAATGAACTATTATGTCAGTGTGAAATGACACCAGATTCAGTATCAAAATGTTTTTACTAAAAACATTTTCTGATCATGCAGTAGTGGTATGATGTTCTTACACATGAGAAACAGCTCCCAGACAGTATCTCACTCTATAAACAATATAATAACATCACAAATGAAGGAATTAACTGCTTCTGAATGTCACAAAAAATAACTGTTTACAAATTACACATATTAACCAATATCTCCTGGTCTTAACTGCCTTTCTCCTTCCAGAATGAAGATACACATTGCACGATACAATAAATATGTACCAAGCATTCTTTTGTGATGTGACGTCCATGTGGCAGCCACACCATAATAATCACCACGCCGCGCATTCTCCAAGTTCCGTATATCAATGGCATCAATCATTGATGCTTCACGTGTGTATGCCTCTGCTGGTATCACATTCTGAAACACATGGAGGCACACAACACCCATTCCCGCCTTCCAAATGTCCAGAATAAACTGCACTTTCTTGTCTGTTTTCACCACAGTCTTCTTCTTCCAGACAGCAAATGCTTGGTAAAGATGAGAATAAGGTCTGGAGCGCTTACCCTTTCCTATGTAGAAGATAGAAGATAGAAAGGTGGACCAGGTGTGGGGCTCACTAAGGGAACCCACACGACATGGAAGATTGTTAGTTACACGTGGATCCAGCAATAAGTATGTGAAAGATGATTTCAGAATGCCCCCTCGCCAGTGCCACAATGGTTCTGGTTGTAAAAATTGTTGCATTGCTTCATTTTCAAGTTTTTGGCAATCTAGAAACCATTTCTTCCAGTTAAAATGATGTATTGTACGTTGTAGTTCAGGGCTATAAACTGCAAGAGAAGGAATAACATAAATGTTTATTTAATATAAAAATTAATAATAATTGTCTAAATGATACTGCAAAATCATTACATCCATGTGGAGGTAAAGGTTGCAGTATTTGAGTTTCCTTTGTTTTAATTTTCAAGGCTTCAAAACTAGCCTTCTGAGAGTAGTAAATATTAAAAATGTTCGATTAAATATTTCTATTATATTGCTGAAGTGTGAAGTTCACCAGTCACCTTAATCTAGCACAGAGGTTATGATTGCATGGAGCTTTACCTCTACTTTCCAGTACGTCTTCATGATGCAGTACTGAATGAATCATTGCCTAACATCATAGCCAATAAGTGGTCAACCATAGTGCATGAACAGCTGTATCATGTCTGAGACATGTACAGGGAAATTTTTAAAGCTATTGGTGTGTTCATGGCTCCACACTCCAAGGTTTTGAAAAATGAAGTGTGAAGAATGTGGGCAATTCCAGTTTTAAGGTTAGTACTTCCACAATCATCCTGCATTTCAATCTATGTTATATTCTCTTTACATTAGTATACCACAAAATAACTCAATAATATGACCTATCCCAGTGGCCAGCATTTTACTTGAGAGCTGTGATATGCAAAGTGTATGAAAAGAAATGTTTTCTAACCTTTGGCTTCTGTAGGTGGTCGAACTGGTTTCCTCTGGATTCTGAGCAGCTTCCTTATGTACAGTCTTTTAGTTGTAGCAATAATAGGTCCTGGGATGTAGCCATTCTCTTTCAGCTTCCCTCGCAAAACATCTGTATCATAATCCAGGCTTGATGGAACTGATACATCACTCTCAGTGAAATCCCCTACAGAAAGTACAAAATACAATACAGCGAGGTATATTTTCATGCATAGTACCACTCTTCTCCACTCGCAGTATCTATGATGAGAGCATTTTGAATATACACAACACAATGGGAAAGATAAGTGGAAAAACCAGCATTTTGCGTGTCAGTGCGAGAGACCATTTAGACAGACACACACAAATACAGATACAATTACACACTGCATTACATCCCATGCTGAAATTTATGCCTTTCATTCAGATTATGACCTACAAAATCAATAATCACCTCAAATTCAAGTAAAATGGCTCAAGCAGCTCACACACACATATACAGATACAATTACACACTGTAATTACGTGCCATGCAGAAATATATGACTTTCATTCAAACCTACAAAACCAGTCACCACCTAAGGCTCAAGCAGCAATGCTTCTGACTTGTATTTGAGAGGTGCCTGGTGAATCTTGGCCAGTATAGCAACTATTCTGACTGAGGATTCACCATGAACTTCCTCAGTCTGTCCACACAAAAGCAAGTGTAGTTAGTACCTTAACCTTTATCAGCCGGGCCATTTAAATTCCAGTAATGGCTGCGGGCCGGAGTTAATTTAAATGCCCGCCACTGTAGAGTAATAAAAATTGTAATCATGTTACTAAAATGCTGTTATTTCTACAATTTTTGTGATAAACGAACGAAATAAACGCTACTTTTATCTAGAAAGAATATAGAATCAGATATTGTAATTTACAGATTTTAGAATCTGTAAAAATTGTTACACTGATTAAAAAAAAAAATCCCCAATTTTGAGCGTCTGTCCACAAAAATGCATAAAGCTTCTGCACAAAACTTTTCTGCAGTATAAATGCATGCTGCTGACACACTGTCTATGTTTTATCTTTCAAGAGGAGAGAAAGTTTATGTTTTCATTGCACATTCTCTGGTCACTCCGCTTTCTGTATACACGAGTGTGGGCAAGGTCTTATCCTACTTTGTCCTTATGAAACTCTGTCTGTTTATATGTTGGACTAAACACACAGAGGTACTGTTCTTGGAATATCCCCTCAATGCCCCTTGCCTCCTGGTCCCTTCAGAATCGACTGTACCGCATTCTGAATGGTGTGATTTACAAGCGGCCTCTCAATTTTGGCTTCTTCCATGCGATATGGGGCCATGGTGCATAGTTGAAATTGCAATTTTTTATAAGCATTACGAATAGAGGAGACCACTTGCCATCACTGGCCTACTTCCTGCTAATACGAGACTGATGTTGCATGTGTGCGCTTCGCGTGGAAAACAGAGTTACAAAGTGCATGAATTGCGACATCGGACTCTGCATTCAGTTACATGAAAATTTCAGTTAGATGATGCAGGAGGGAAGACAGTCTACTTATAAAGCTGGTGTCCAAAAATAATGTAAGTAGAACAAGAATTTCTATCTTAAAATTAGATTTTAAAACACTGTGCGCATGGGTGGACTGCAAGTCACCATACGGTGTCATTCGGCCACTCGGCTTTACTTTAAAGGTCCCCATACAGTGTCTTTTGGCTCATAAAGGTTAAAGCTGGCCACAAACACTTCCATCAGCTTCCTTCACAGTTCATTATTCACTAACTTCTTGTCACCTGATACTTATAGTCTGAGTTACTGATAGGGTCATTAAATAAACTACAAATAAAAATAAACCGCACTGAAAACCTTTATGTTTCAGCGCTGACAACCTATGAACATGAAGGGCACAGCCTGTGTCATGAATAATAAAACTCCACTCTGAACTCTCAATGATCTATCAAAAAGCATAAGCAGGAAGTTTTGTGAAGAACTGACTTGTATCATGACTACTTTCCCTTGAATGCTTCAATCCATACAGTGAGGTTGGATGAAGCTGTAACTATCTGACATAATTTGATGATCCACTTTTGTGCATAATTTCCACTATCACAAATTCCGATTACATTACATTTGTCACTCATAAAACTAAAATTCACTATGTTGCCACATTTTGAATTGTAACCCACAACATATGTTCTGTACAAAACAATTCACATGCCTTCTATCAACAGTTCATTAGTTATAAACATCAAACATTACACAGAGAGCCCAGGCAAGATTTAAACTGAGCAACCACAGAAAGGCTAAAAGCTCATTCTTAAAGTACAGCCTTCATTTTCATCATTAGATGTAGTATGTGAAAGTGTGAAGTGCGAAACCTTACATGAAAATCTGCAGTTGCCTGTTTGTGATCGGTGTTAGTAGCACTCATTTAACCAAATCTTATATCAAGGTGTGCATAGAATATACACTGATCTTGTCAAATACTCAATAAATTAAAAAAAAAATAGACAAAAGTTAAAAAGTTTAATAACAGTATGTTTTATATTTGTATTTTATCTTGCAATAAGACGTTTGTGAGAAATCTTATAAACCGTCTTTGTACTCAAGACATGACAACAATAATGATTAAATAAAACATAAAAAGACACACCTGCACTGCATATTACATCTTGGAGCTTGGACGAAGATTGGGGTGGATTAGTGAGTTTGCTTTCTTCAGACTGAAGCTCTGAAATACTGAAACAACAAAATATATAACTCAGCAAAATGCCACAGATTCAATGTGTGGTCTTCTGAGTTGTGACACCATGCAGTTTTGTATGTGGGTATCAATTCAGAGGAACATGCTATAACCATCTTCATGCTCAAAGTGAGTTGGGTGAGCATACAAGAGACAGAACTCAAGCAGCACCAACAGGCATGGGGAACAGGAAATGTGAGAAAAACAACACTTTTCAGGACCACAGGAGGGCCATAAAATTCTGAGAAAGAGACAGTAAGGTAGTCACTCAGACTGATGTCAGGAGGTGAGAATCAGAACCGAGTCCAATCTAATTGGAAAAGTGAAACATACTTAAGAGAAAACCCCTTTTCAGGACCTCAGTCATCATAGGAGGAAAGCTAAACTGTGGGAGAAGATGGGCACTTTCAGGATAACTGGGAAGTCAAGCAAAACAACCCTTTTCCAAAAGCCCAGGAGGGCATTGGGGGGGTTACCTCAGGAGGAAATAACCATCTTGTCCTTGAAAACAACCTCCTCCTTCCTTTCCTTCAGAAGTCGATAAGAGACTTCCACAACTTACGCAAGGGAAACCTATTCTCCCTACTGTCACATGAACTGACTGCATGGGGCAGGTTGGTCACACATCATTCATTGAAGTTTCCAGACCTCCCTCCTCTGCTAGCATCTTCCAGAGGTGCAGCATGCCTTGTCTCATGTGTGTACTGTACTCTTCTAGAAATATAACTTGTATAACACCTTGGTCACATGGCAGAGCTGAGTTGAGTTTTACTGTCAGCTTTAAGTGTTCATAGGGTGTGTAGAACGTGTAGAAGGTGCATAGAGTCTAGTCTTGAATTTGTTAGTGTTTTAAGGAGCTTAAGGAGTGATTCTCCTAAATAACTAATTTTACGCACATAATCAAAAATGGGGATGTTATTTAGTAAAAGTAAGAAGGAGGAATTCGAGAGATTCATTTTTGTAAGATGGAATCTTTGTTGCTATGGTGTAATGTTTGTAGTAATGTGGAAATAGGCCACGCCATAGCTCAAGCGGTTAGTAGCTGGCTTCCAACTGTGACGGCCCGGGTTCGATCCCGGGTGTGGTCAAGTGGGATTTCTGGTGGACAAAGTGGCACTGGGGAATGTTTTCTCTGAGTACTTCAGTTTCCCCTGCCAATCATCTTTCCACCAATTGCTCAAAAATCACCCTCACCTATCATCTGGAGCTGGTACAACAGACCAGAAGTGACCGCAGTACAAGGGACTTAGTCCCACCCCACTAACAATAATAATAAAAAAAAATACAGTGTTCATGTGTGGAGAAACAGTGTAACAATGTGAGAGATGCTACATATGAAGAAGACAATGTAGTGCCATATAGTAAAATAGTGGACTAGATAAGACAACATCAAGTTCTTAAGTGGCTAAGTAACAATCAGACAATAACTGTCCCAAAACAAGACAACTGTCACAATATTGTTAGGGTGGAGCTTGATCTCTACTGTTGCTTCTTTTATGGGCACTGCACCTGGAATTCTTGGTCAGGATGACTGTTACTGGACACAGTGCAATGACCCTGTCATAGCTGACTTATTCAGCTGATATGACAGTGGTGTTCATTAAACCTGGTTTTGATAGAATGACTGGCTTGTTCAATTTACATTTTCCCACACTCACAGAGAATGTATTATTATGTCGCAGAAATGAAGAAAATGGCGAACTTCCCTCAGTGGGATGCTTACTGTCTTGACATTATGCTAGGCTTAAACTTGATTCTGTCGCCCCTCTCACAGACTTGAGTGACCACCTTCCTTGCAATCCGCCTATATAATCTAACCACATCCTCACTCTATTCAATTTGACACATAAAGATGGAGGCAGCATGCTCTTCTGAAACACTGCTATTCATCTATAAGAATATACAATGTCACACTCCAAAAGGCAATAATCTGAACAATCATTACCATGATAACCTCAAAGCTTATATTTTTAACTTGCACTATTACAAGCAGTGTGCTTTACAGGGTCTAGTTCTCCCCCTGACATGACTTCCATGAATGATGAAAGAGACATACGAAAGATGACAAGGATGAGCAATTATATAAATTATTTTACGTGCGCTCATCTGCATTCTCTCCAAAAATACTACATTTGCGACATGCATTTAATACAACAATGACCAAAATTCTGTATCAGTTTGTAACAAAGTTATCTGAAAATGGTATTATGAGTATGAAAACCAAATGAAAGAACTGGGGCAGAATGCTTCAGTCTAGTGTCTCCCAACCAGATCACCGCTTATAGACAAATTCTAGCTGGCATCATGTTAGCATATCTGGAAACATTAATATTTCACAACTACAATTTTTTCTTCATATTTTGTTGTAAACTGCTCTGTAAATCAACCATAAATAATATTTATTATATTCCTGTCAACACATTATTTCCAGCAGGTGAAGTTGCTGTCTAGGATGACATGTTTCAGTACATGTGTACCACCTTCAGTTCTGGTTCTTAGTTACAATTATTGTACCATGCACTTTTTCATATCCTAGGCAGCAACTCCACTGCTGGAAATAATGTTGTGTTGATATGGATGTAATAAATATTATCTATAACAGTCTTTCTTCTTTTTTCCCCCTTGTAGAACTAAATAATTAGTACTAAACATCTGCCTGGACTTGTTCCTTCTCCTCCTTCGCCTCTGCCCCAGATAGTCAACCCTCTTACTTTTATATACCATTCTGATAACACTGGATACTTCTTGCAAATTTAAATTGTTTTATTTGCCCTCCTGCAAAATTTTATTTATGAATTTTCAGTGTAAGTAATTATGACAACTCTTTGATTGAATTTCATTAAACCCACATGAACGGGTTAATATTTACACTGTAAATAAACATATATCTATGTGCCAGCAGTAACTGTATCTGCAGGTTACTTGTACTGAATAATGTAAGACAGGTATTATGTTGGTACTTAGAAAACCCATCAGAAAAAGTTGGAAATCACCGGTTTTACAGATATACATGCAGTTAAAATAGCATCATTAAATAATCTATTAATCTAAGTGAGTTAGTCTTTAATGATGTCTCACCTGACTGTTGGCACAGGGAACCTTCTTTCCAACAGGACCACACCCCATTCTTCATCCGAATACTTGTACTCCTCAGACAGGCTGACAAAAGAATCGCCACTGTCGGATGCTGGCACTGATGATGTACTGGGATGAGTTTCACCACTGGGATTAGATGTGTTACTTTCCAAACAAATTGCTTCCTGACCCTCTTTCTGAAAGACACTGCTAACCCCCACATCAGTCATTTTTACAGCAGGATAAGTTTCATCACAGGTGACATAGTCAGTGCTTTCAGAAAGAAGAAAACAAGACTGGCTAGCAATCCAATCCTCTTCACTAACTAACTCAGGTGACAATACACCATACATACTTAGTCTATCAAATTCACATCTTGATTCTGTGGTTACATCACACTTTATCTCACTATCTGACTCAGGTGCAGATGCTCTACTTCCCTTACAATAGGCACTGCCACAACACCTGCATATTTTACAGTTGTTATCAAGTCGCACTACACCACTTTCAATTGCAGGGAGTTCTGATGCTAAAGGAGTAACATCTGTTGTACATTTACTAATATTAAATTTACAGTCAACCTTAATATTTGTCTTGGCCGGAAGGACATCGTCCTCGGCTGTATCTACCACAACTCGGAAGCCATCTTGATTTTCTACTTTGAACTCTTCCTCACACTTCAAAGGCAAATGCCTATTTTTGTTACGAATGTTCAGTGAACCATCCACAATTCTTTCTAGAGGATGACCTGACACACATTTCTGAACACACTCTGCAGCAGAAGTACTGTATTCAGAATTACATAAAATCTGTTCAGCTGTGCATGAACTATTAAACTTTAATTCCTTAGGAAATTTTGCCTTAAAATCAGTGTCAAAAGAATTATAAGAATTAACCCAATCTCTCTTCTTTTTTAAAGTATCTCCAATACTTACATGAGTTACTAAATGCATCTGATTTTGAACAGCAATGTCATCAGCGTTAAGTTCTTCCTCAGTGACAGATTTCTGATTGACAATTGTTCTGCAAGATCTGTTTTCTGCACAACCATTCACTGCAATATCAGACAAAGAACATTTCCGACATGCCTGTGTACTGACATCATAACAACTGTCCTTGATAACAGAAGTCTGTCTTATGCACTGTCCACATGACTCCTGGTGGTTATGGCCATCCTTGGCAAGCTCTGAGAAATCACCAGATGATGTGCAAGTTTGTGTATTAACTGATACTGTCTGAAGGGGACAGGCTGCTGACTGTGGGTCCATTCTGTACTCGTAAGCAACACTACTGCCATACACAAATACTTTCTCTGAAACAAGATACAAACTGAACAATGAGCAGAAGATATACTAGAAATGTTGCAAAGTACATTTTCATTTGGATTGTTTAAAAAATATTGGTAACTATATGCACAATGCAATCAAACTTAACTAATATATATTTACTTTATATAATTAACTTTACCTTTTATGTGAAAACAGAAACAACTTACAGAATTTTAGAAATACCTCTAAAGGGTTATAATGATGGTACATTACATTTAAAATTCCTGGGTGCCTGGACTTTGTCCTTAGTTCAGTATTCAGAACAGAACACAATGTTACAGAATTATACATATTCCAAAATATTTTGTTTTGTTAGAAATGTACGAGATCCAAAACTGTTCAGGAACAGGACTTGTAAATTCATTTTAACAAAATATTACTTTTTAAATTTGTGATCATACTGGAGTCCACCATTAGAGAAACGTACCTGGAGACCCCTTACTGCATGTAACAGAAGCAGAGGAGGCCAGCAGAATACAGTTTGAGAATCATTATAATAATACACAGTTTTATAAAACAGCGCTTCTTCTTATTTAACGATGCTCTTCTGCCACTACACAAATTATACACCATCATATGCCAGCTGATTTTGAATAAGAATTGGAAATGAAGGTTCCTAGCCTATTTTAAGGTATTACTCCAAACTTGCTAGATAGGATTAGCCAACCCTCAGGCTGATATTCAACCCTGGGACCTCTCCAATAAAAAGCAGGAGTGTGGACCATTTCATTGCAATATCTAATTCTGTAAGAAGCGATTTTTTGTTTTAATGTTTCTACATTTAATACATCTGCCTGCAGCAGAATATGCATGCTTAAAAAATGGTAGAAGTGTTCTAGTGTCTATTATAATACCATTCAATATGAATGCCTAAAACATAATATAATCCTACAATTTGACATATGGCAGCAAGAAAAAACTACTGCATTAAACACAACTTACCAAATGTCAATGCATACTTTTCTTCACTTGGATCCCCCTTTTTGCATGAATCTGTGTGCCAGAATCTCTGCAGAATCTTTACAATATCCCAGTGGTGTTCCTTGTATGCATAATGAAAAGCATTGTTGCCATCACAGTCATGGATCCATGGATCACCCCCATTTAAAAGCAACAGACAAAAAATGTGTACACGACCCCAAGCTGCTGCTATATGGACAGGAGTCTGTCTCTCTACAGACCTGCAAGAATACACTTGAAATTAGTATACACAAGAAGGTAATACAAATGGTATAAATCTGCACAAACTCTATAAATTTTATTTACTCAGAATTTATTTGAATGGTAAGTACAAAACTGTGAGTAACATGAAACTTATGAGTTACATCAAAACAAACTCTATTACACATTTTTACATAAAGGGAATGAAATGAATGCACACAGAGGTCACATACATCTGACCACAAAGATCATCTCTGAAACTACTAAATGGATTTCCACAGATCAATAAATTTAACTTTCATTCATGCTGGTTCAGTAAAATCTGTGCTGTATATTGAGCTGAAATTAAAAATTTATCAAGTTCCTCAGACATGACTCAGCACACAAAATGTTGGTACACAGAATAAAATACAGAACACATTACTATATTGAGCCAGGAGAGCGCAGTTGGTATAGCGACTGATTATGGGCTGGACAACCAAGAAGTTGGAATTCAAATACCAGTAAGGTCAAGAATTTTCACTTCTCCACGTCATCCAGACCAGCTCTGGGGTCCACCCAACCTCCTATACAATGGGTACCAGGGGCTCTTTCCCAGGGGGTAAAGTGGCCGGGGCGTGAAGCTGACCACTCACCTCCAACTAGCACTGAGGTCAAGAAAATGTGGATCTATACATCCAATCCCCCATACGCCTTCATGGCATAGTGCTTACTTAGATAGCTGCACTGTGCAGCTAAGTGCAATTAATGTTATTCAATGTAGTACTTGTACAAACAAGGTTCAGAGAACATACTTTACATTCATAATATTCTTAATAAAATCCATCTTCCAACCAACAGTTTCCATAAATCAAATACTCTCGGGGTTGCAGCTGATCATCTTCTTTTCAATTGTATGCTACCCCAGTTTGGAACACACTTCTGATTAAGTAATATATAAACTCATTAGGGATCACTTACCACCTATTTGATTCAGAATATATTAAAATAGATGCAATTATAATTATTTTACCTGCTGTTTTGTGTAAGTGAGAAACTTCACCTCTCACTCAAAAGTAATACACACATGTCAGTGTGTCTGAGAACAGAGCACGAAAATATCTAGACCTAGGAAAGCAAAAGTAATAGGAAGTTGGAGAAAACTGCATAAAGATGGACTTCATAATTCATAATACTCATGAAGTATGAGGGTCATCAAATCAAGGAGGATGGGACAGCTGGAGCACACATTAAGTTCAGAAGAGATGAGAAATGCATACAAAATTTTACTCAGAAAATCTGAAAGTCTGAGATCACCTGGGACACATACTGTATGTCCAAAAAGTATCCGACTTTATTTTTTTCCGCTGTAAGTAATGGACAAAGGGGTGGGGAAACTGAGCGTAGTGGTAGAAGGGACTTTCATGCGCATGCGTGATTTTTTGCTGACTTGCAACACTGCCAGATACGTCTGTGGCTACCAGATAGCAAAGTGGTGTAACACGTGTTCGTCACATTCTCGTTTCGCTCAAGATGACAGAATGCTTGGAGCAGAGATATAGTATTAAGTTTTATCAGAAACTTGGGGATACCCAAGAGGAAACAATCACAAAATTCAGAAGGCTTTCAGCAATGATGCAATGGAGGTCACTCAAATTAAAGAGTGGTTCAACCGCTTTAAACATGGCCGTATGTCGGCGGACAGTGAGCAGCGTTCTGGGAGACCGTCAACGAGCCGAAATGCTGATGTCATTGAAAAAGTGCAGACACTGATCATGGTGAACCGTTGTTTGGCCATCCGTGAAGTTGCTGATGAGGTTGGAATCAGCAGAGGTTCCGCAAACACAATTTTAACTGAGGATTTGGGCATGCGAAGAGTGGCGACAAGATCTGTGCCCAAGCTGCTTTCGCCGGAGCAGCAACAACTCCGCCATGTGGTCGCACAGGACATGCTGGAGTGCGCCAACAGGGATCCTGAGTTCCTGAAGACTGTAATCACTGGTGACAAGTCGTGGGTGTATGGATATGACCCAGAAACCAAGGTCCAGGCGTCACAATGGAAGTATCCAACATCCCTGAGGCCCAAAAGAGCATGACAAGTTCGGATCAATGTGAAGGTGATACTGACTGTTTTTTTTTTTTTTTATTACCGGGGTGTTGTGCATTATGAGTACACACCACTAGGCCAGATTGTCAATAAGGAGTACTACCAAGAAGTCCTCCGCCATCTTCGTGATGCAGTTCGGCGCAAGAGACCGGAGCTGTGGGAGGCATGCAATTTGCAGCTGCATCATGACAATGCCCCAGCTCATTCATCACACCTGATCCAGGGTTTCCTGGCCAAGCACGGCATTCCACAGGTTTGCCAGGCTCCCCAGTCTCCTGAAATGGCTCCTTGTGATTCCTGGCTGTTCCCGAGACACCGCTAAAAGGCTGCTGGTTTGACAGCCGCGAGGACATCATACAAAACGCGATGGCGCAGCAGCACACCATTCCAAAAGAAGCCTTCCAGAATTTCTTCCAGCAACGGAAAGACCACTGGGCTAAGTGTGTGGAGTCACAAGGGGCCTACTTTGAAGGCGATTAGGTATTGTAACCACCCAGATACAGAACTATTTTTTCCCGGCCCAAGGTCAGATACTTTTTGGACATAGTAGTATACATAAATAGAAGATTAATACTAAAATAGCATTATCCCCCTGCACACCATGAGTGGATTAAATCACCTTGGCATACCTGCACTGCTGCTGCCACAGTCAAGGAGACTGCCTCAATGTTAATCACTTAGTAGGGCACTTCTGCCAATATGTCATCAAGTGTTGCATACTGATGTTTATAGGTGAAAGAACACTTTCTCATTATCCGCATTTGTAGTCATCTCTGGGTAATCAGTGGAAGCACTGTGGGTTTTTTTTTGTGCAATGGCATTTTCCTCCAAGTGTCCTTGACATTTCTAGTAGGTAGTTTCTATAATTGGACTCGGCAGTTAAAGGAGTAATGAATCTTTCAATTTCATAAAAGGCAGGGAATTTTCTAACTGAGTCGACTATTTGCTTCTCATGAACTCTCCTCCTTGGAGTTACTAAATAAATAAATAAATAAACTAAATATATATAATCACCAAATGTCACAATCAGGTGAAATTCCCAGGTTCAAATCTCAGCATGAAGATAGGCTAGCCGGACTGAGATTTTCATCATGCAACATGTTTCGATAGTACCTCTAACTAAACCCTGACTGCTTCCTTTCACATCCTCTCCAATTCCTTATTCATTATCCATACTACCATTTGATGCTATAGTTTGAGGAACTACCAGCATCATTAAACAAACCATAAATAAATATACAAACTTAAGAAACAATTGTACCTCACATTAGGATTTCCTCCATACTGCAGGAACAACCTTGTAACTTCCAGAGCAAAATCTTCAGATTCATTTCCAACTGCTAGATGAAAGGGAGAAATTCCTTGGTTTGGGAGAATCACATTTGGATTAGCATCTGTTTTCTCCAGGATTGCTTTCAAATGGCTGAAACAAAACAGTACCTTCTAGCAGCCTTGAAGGATATTTTGTTCCCTTTAAATCAGGTTCCAGACAGAAAATAAGACTGTATAACAAATCAAAATACGAAATCTTTAAACTAACAAATATTTTGGATTAGCCTTCTAGGTTGAGGCACAGAACAGCCTTACAGGTGGTTACCAAAGTTTTGGAGAAACCTGAAGGACCCATCTTCAGGGAAGAAGTGCTATCCTGAAAATAAGGATAACAGATTCCTACAAAATATTGGTAACAACCTACCTCAGTGTCACAATCCAGAATGCAAAATTACTGAATGCCACAGTCAGGTGAGTAGTATTCCAGACATTTATTCAGGTGGCACCAGATTCTAATCTCACCCTAAAGACCAGTGCTCCTGCTCACTCTAAGGGTAGAACAAAGATTTAAAAGCAATGGGAACCTAAGGCTGGATGTTTTTAGCCCATGAGTCCATAACATGTTTCTATCATCAGCTCAGCTCTTCGTTTTTTAAAGTTGTTCTCATGCTTTTTTTTGCCCTTCTTCACACCTCAGTTACAGTGGCTGGCTGCTTAAAGTAAGAATATACTGTAGATATGGGTTTTCTAATTTATTTCCAAAAACACAAATGGATGCTAGTGGGCAGACCTTCCCAAACTTACCTGACAGTTAAAGAACAGAAGTCTTCCAGAATCTCCCTTCTCCATTCTCAGGTAAAGGGAGAAATGAGTCCAGTCACAGACAATTTATAGACATAAAGGAACACAAATATGTCTCAGCCTGTCCATATCTGTTTTCAGTCAATGATGGAACACTGCCCTAATATACACCCTTCAGATAAATGATATAATGATACAAATTCCATCCCAAGTGCAAACAATATATTATGTGTCCTTGATCTTATTCCTCTACACTACATGTTTCGGCCTCAAGACGGCCATCATCAGGTGTATAACACTCACGTTGCTGTCACACTGCACTCAGCCCAAAATTTAACATTTAAAACACTTTCCTTGTTATTATCAACATCTACTTCGTTGATATCTGTCTGGTTTGTAGTGTGGGGTTCTCTCTTGTCAACGTGTGTGTGTGTGTAGTCTTGTCGCTACTCCTATGACAACCCACTTCTCCGGAACAGTTTGTTGGCCCTGAAAAGGACCGTGGCTGATGAGATGTTTGACCGGGAGGTAGCGCGGCGCGCGCCGGTAAGGAGAAAGGCTAGTGAAAGGCGAGTGGCCTGGCCGCAGTGCGGCCGTGGCTGGAGGTTGCTTGGTTGCCGTGCGGCAGCGTGAGTTGGAGGTTGCTTGATCGCTGCGCGGCAANAATTCTGGAGTCGCTCCTTTTTATACGCTGGTCGGTGGGGCGGAGCCAAACTCGAAAGTGAGGAGCAAGAATTGATTGGCTAGCGCGCGTAATTGTGTAGACGCGGGCTAGCGCCGAGCGTAGTATAAATGCGATCGTTTGAAGCAATCTGATTGGTTAGCGCGCGTGATGGTGAAAACTGATGTGAAGAGCGAGCGTTGCAGAAATGCGTGATAATGTGGGATGTTCCCACAGTAGATTTTTTACACACGTTAATTTTGACGTACCTGTAGTAGCACTATAAAATCTTTAGTTCTAATTTTAAAATCCTTTAAAATTTTTCTCAAAATTTAAAGTTTAAAATTGTTAGGGTTACTCGCCCTATGTCTAAAGTGCTGCAACAGCTAGTTCTTGTTTCCACACTGTATAGGTGTTTTCCTGTGTAGTCTTCCTGTGTGCGTGCCGCTGTTATTCTTTACTACGTGTGTTCACGCGTAGTAAAGATTAACAGCGGCACGCACACAGGAAGACTGCGTGTGTTCACACGTAGTAAAGATTAACAGCGGCACGCACACAGGAAGACTACGTGTGTTCACACATAGTAAAGATTAACAGCGGCACGCACACAGGAAGACTACACAGGAAAACACCTATACAGTGTGGAAACAAGAACTAGCTGTTGCAGCACTTTAGACATAGGGCGAGTAACCCTAACAATTTTAAACTTTAAATTTTGAGAAAAATTTTAAAGGATTTTAAAATTAGAACTAAAGATTTTATAGTGCTACTACAGGTACGTCAAAATTAACGTGTGTAAAATAATCTACAAACCAGACAGATATCAACAAAGTAGATGTTGATAATAACAAGGAAAGTGTTTTAAATGTTAAATTTTGGGCTGAGTGCAGTGTGACAGCAACGTGAGTGTTATACACCTGATGATGGCCGTCTGAGGCCGAAACATGTAGTGTAGAGGAATAAGATCAAGGACACATAATATACTGCTTGCACTTGGGACGGAATTTGTATCATTATATCATTTATCTATGGAGTGCAACAGGATGCTTAAATATAATATTATACACCCCTCAGTGCTATCTGTGGCAAATCTTTCACACATTCATTGTACTGATGTGATGTAAGCAATTTTGGGGGTGATATAAGCATTAAATGGCAACACCAAAGAGAGAGAAAATGAAAAATGAGTGTCACACATTTCAGGAGAGACAGACTGAAAACTACTTTTCATTGAATTTAAAAGGAAACCAATATGCTTGGTTTCTTTGGATACAATTTTTGTATTTGAAGATTGTAGCTTGAAAAAGTATTAAGATAGGGAAAAAAAAGTAAAGGTAATGCTATCCATAGCCCATAGGGTTGTGAGATGTTAAGGGTCCCACATTACCTTGACAATCGGCTCAAAGATGGCGGTAAGGTTTACAACCGCTCACACGGCCTTCACTTCTCGCAACCGTTGTTCACCACTTCTCGTGGCCGTTGCCTATCTATCTTTATGTTTATTTATTTGTTTGCCCGCTTCAGTAGAACACTTTTGACTCTTCTCAGGGTTGTGCCACGGTAATAACTTGGGCAACGCGGAGACTGCACATTTAAAACTAGTCCACTGATACAAATAAATACTCTATTTTCTGCTTAATCACAATATTGTTTATTTCAGAATCAAACTATAACTTTATCGGCGAGTAGGGAGTAATGTGCCAAAGATTAATCGAGCCAAATAAATACTGTTAAATTTAGATAAACTTGGAGAGAGCAGGTAAATGACGTCTGCCTCTGGTGAATTCTAAGTGCTAAGTCCGATACGTCTGACTCTGATGAATTCTGAACACCAAGTGCTTCTGCCCACTCTATCTCCGGGAGCGTCACTTCTTACCGTATAGGACTTGAACCGACGGCCTTTCTCCCAGACAAGAATTCTCTCTAATGGCTGATTTTAACTGCCAAATCATGATACCATCAGTACAAGACAATCACATTACTAGCTTTGAGAATGAAGAGATCCAGAGATTTTGAACCCGGGACCCTACATGTGAAAGCACTTATGTCTTAGTTTAGGGCAGACAACAAACATATCCTTTTCATAATTGCCTCGACCCTCTAACGGTCACCCAAGGTCCAGGTATCAAAATAAGTTGTTCCTGTCTAAATGCGAAATGCATGTCAACTTCTTAATGGATGGGTCACCCTTATAAATCAGTCACTCTATTGAAATGGCTGAAAAGGAACATGCGTCCATTAAAGAGTATTGAAAGGTTTGGACGGTTACAATCTCCCCAGGAGTAATTTTGGCAATTTTGATTCCATGGAATTGACCAACATTACTACTTACTTGCCTTTGAAGTCCAAACAACAAAGTAAATAATACAAGAATACAACACAGTTCTTAAGAAATGACAATAATTAACAAAAACACTTATATGCTTATTATACAAGGTAACACAGAATTCAAGTCACTTCAGTAGTTTACATATAACGTAAAAGAATCACACACAAATTTCATTCATTCCTCCCTCGATATTACTCATCAGCTACTGGGATATTGAAAATCATTTAATGTAGTAAAATTTTATAAATTCATATTCATCACAGCTAATTAATTACAGAGCTTGGTTCTCAATAACTTCATATCAGCTTAATTATTCAGTTTAGGCAATATCGCAACAATCAAACTAGCCGACGTCTATTCCCTCAAAGTACGGTTTTAGAAGTTGTTTGTTAAACATTCCTCTCAGCTTTCCTTTAGAATCAGAGATTTCATATGCAGATGGTGGTACAATTTTTTTCTTTGATAATATAGGGCTCTTCATACGGACGTCTGAATTTACCAGTCATGTGCTTAATGTACTTTTTCAACAGATTACTTAATACCTTCCTTCTGAATATTATCCAGACTTTCAGTCGCTTCAATCAGAGCATACAAGTCCGCAGTCCACAATGAACGTGGGATAAGGACATCTTGTTCAATTTTATTAGTAGGCTTTACTTTAAACTGGTCACCCTTCCTGTCTTCATAACTACTCCCCCCATTGCTACTCTCACCATCCTTGTCAACAGAAGCCTAATTATGGCTACTGTAATCTTCATCACTATTAATCCCGTTCACTTCAAATATCTTTAATATCCTCATAACTACATCTAACGTCGTCGCTACGTAAGGAGCTCTGCCTTACTCAAATATCTTAATATTCTCATAACTACATCTAACGTCGTCGCTACGTAAGGAACTCTGCCTCACTCAATATCATAATATCCTCATAACTTTCATACTGAATACATCTAACGTCGTCGCTGCGTAAGGAATTCTGCCTTACTCGATATCTTAATTCTCACAAAATCCGAGGGCTGACCTCTTTCTTTGACACTAACAAGGATTGCGGTAGCAAGCAGGTTTCGGTGGAACACTTCACAGCTGGGTTGAGCAGCAGTGAATCGGGTGGGTAATACAACTGTCTCAGTCCGAATGGATTGGGTTTGCACAATATGAGTTATATTATGGATCGGTTGTCCTTCAGACCCCATCCCGTTACATCCTACTTCCTTTTTATCTCTGCTCTGGCAAAACAACTGAGTCTTCCTAATCCCATCTCTTTTATAATGCAAGAAGTTCCTTACGAAATCAATCATAATACCGCATTCATGAGCATAATCACAACCTAAAATCGCCTTCAATTCTGTCAGCTGAGAAGATATTAAAAACACACATTCCTACATAACTTACTAACATACATGGTGTTGCAATGAGGTCCTCACATACACATATTTCTTGACTTGCTATTACTTTACCATGACATCGCGTGACTCTTATTTCTGAAATGAAACTTGTAAAATAATGTATTTCGTATGCAATGCCTGTCCAAGTTTCTTGAAGTATGCTACAGATACTGTTAAAACGTAAATCTGGCAGGTAAATATTACACATCCCTTATGCAAACAACTGTGTGATTAATCTTGCAGTATTTATGCTGAGTTAAAGTGCAGTACTTAAAATAAAACTAATCAAAATACCACTGTAAGAAATATTATGCTGAACACTTGTCAATATATCAGTGGCAGTGCTATTAATGAAAACATAAAGACTGACAAAAAGTATTATATAAAAAAAATGCAGAGCACACTCAGCCTCATGATCATACATCTCCATTGCTTTCAGTTACACTTTGTCAAGTTCTGATGTGAATG